TTGTCGCTCTTGTGACGTTTTTCACCTTCAGACTGTTTTTTGGACTTTCATTGTGCGTTTTTCGTTACATATTTAAATATTTTCTTTTCTTTATTATACTATCTCAGTGTAAAATTTCAAGATGAATGCTTAAAGGGCCGACTGCGGCCTCAAACACCCAGATAACAAATTTGTTCACTCATATTTACCAGGGTTTTATTCTTTTATTGATTTTAATTTTTCAATCTTAACTATTTAATTTTTAATAACAGTTATTATTAAACTATTCTTCAATATTTTTATCATTCTAGAACTGAAACTTTTTTTTCAGGGAGCTGATATCATTGTCTATCCAGAATACGGAATATTTTATCCCGGTAACAGGACACAACTAAAGCATTTTCTTGAAGATGTACCAGATCCTAAGAAGACACGAACTGCCCCTTGCGATGAAGTTGAACTTTACATGAAAAGACCAATACTCTACACACTCAGTTGCGTAGCAAAACATAATGCCATGTATGTAGTAGCAAACATGGGGGACATTAAAGATTGCTCCGGAGTTTCCGAATGTCCAGAAGATGGAGTTTTTCACTTCAATGCAAATATTGTTTTCGACCGAAATGGGAGATTAATACTCAGATACTATAAAGAACATTTATTCTTTGAATTAGGCATGGATCTGGCGAGAGAGGAACAAGATCCCGTATTCACAACCGATTTCGGTACATTTGCCACTTATATTTGCTTCGACATATTATTTAAAAGAATGAGCCAAGTTGCCAAATGGCCGCAAATCGATGGCATAATGTTTACGAGTATGTGGGCCGAAAACCCTCCTCAAGGATTATCAGTTGCATTTTGGCAAGGTTGGGCATTAGGAAACAACGCTACCATAGTTGTCTCAAACATTCAAAGTCCTTCTCGATACGCACTTGGAAGTGGAATATTCCATAAAACACATGGATCTCTGGGATATACGTACAATCCAGATAGAGTATCAAAGGTAGTGGTTGCTAAAGTTCCTGTTTCACACCAACCAGTACTGACCTCAAGGCCTTCATTGACTGCTTTCACTGACACTAAAGTTTGGGATATGAAAAGTGAAGAAGAAGACGTTCCTAAAGTTTGTTCCAACCTTTTAATCGATGCTACAGATGATTCAACTGAGAAATTGTATTGTTCCGATGAAAAGACTACAAATTACACTCTTGTAAAATTGCCAAAATCTGGAGGACACGTAAAAGCTTGTAATAATGGCATGTGCTGTTCTGTAAGTTATTCTGCTGAAACTATAGAGGAGGACTACTACCTGGGTGTCTACAACGGGACAATAAACGCTTACGATTTAAATAGATATTGTTGGTGTGAAGAGAATTGTTTCCTCGCTAGGTGTGACGCTATTAAAGGTAGGCCTTGTTCTACTTTCCCAAGAAAAACAAACACAGTGTTTTATCATGTGGAATTGAAATCCAATTTCTCAACTCCATTTGTTTATCCCTCTGTGGTCAGTAGTAAGAGTAGATTGGTTCCCATGACTGAATGGGAGTTTGACGTAGGGCACAGTTCTGATTCTCAAAGCTCCATACACTTTCATAGCAAGTATGGCGAACAATTGTTGTCAGTGGGATTTAGAGCTCGTTGTTTTGATAGGGATCCACCTTATGTAAGATAAGAAAACAAAATGGCAGTTCTGTATGAAGCTAAGATATTATTTGCTTTATTAAATGCTTGACTTTTGCTTGACTATATATTATTTTGCATTTTTTTTTTCCATTCCTACATTATTCACTAATAAAAATAAATTCACGTTTAAATAAATAATGCTATATTAAATGGATTGTATGAAAAGCTATCTTATTTCAATGAAGTAATTTTTTTGTATTTCAAGCAATTACAAAAGTTAATGTAAATGAAAACACAAAAATTAGTGCATCCTTTCGTTGTATTTATTCCATGAGAAAAGTATTTTCCGAAGAAAAATATTATGCATAAAACTGTTTTAAGATGTTTTGAAAAGACGTGATCGAATCTTACAAAAATTGTATTACTCATTTTAATGCAAAATTTGTACAAGATATGAATTGCAAAAACATTTTTACTCGATTTTTTTATATAACATAAAACTTGGAAATTGTTGTTTTATTAATTAGGCATTGTTGCAAACTAATAAGCATATATTTGAACTTAGCTTTCGGTTTTGCATAAAAACAAATATTTTTAAATTTTTGTTATTCAAGCAGAAATAAAGTATTTTGCCCTTAATAACAACCCGTACAAACTCGGCATTTACCCTTTGTTCTCGAGGTTTTTCACAACGGTTTAAAGAAATCAATGCAGAGATGCTATGCACCACTTTGAGGAAAAATTTTATATAGTGGCTGCAAAATTTATGATTTCATTTATAAATCTTAATTTAGTAGATTCCACAACACATAATTAAATCGAAAGTTCAAACCATTTGAGAACCTATAATAAGTTTTGAGGACATTTTCTGTCCTCAAAGAATTTGAAAGATTTGAGACAACTATAGAAATTCGAGAACTGTCCTCAAGATTTGAGGACGTTCGATCTTGTATACTTATAGTACATATGTTACTCATAGTACATATGTTTGAGAATCGCTCTGAATTTTTTTTTTCTAATTGCAACTAATTAATTTAAATGGTATCTTTAAATTAATTAGTTGCAATTCTCTAATCTTTAAATCTTTAAATTAATTAGTTGCAGTATCTTTAAATTAATTAGTTGCAGTAATTAGTTGCATTAGTTANATTCCACAACACATAATTAAATCGAAAGTTCAAACTATTTGAGAACCTATAATAAGTTTTGAGGACATTTTCTGTCCTCAAAGAATTTGAAAGATTTGAGACAACTATAGAAATTCGAGAACTGTTCTCAAGACTTGAGGACGTTCGACCTCCTTATTGTATACTTATAGTACATATGTTACTCATAGTACATGTGTTTGAGAATCGCTCTGATTTTTTTTTCTAATTGCAACTAATTAATTAAAATGGTTACTTGCATAAATATGAACCGTTTCACATTTTTCTGCAGTTTTGGGTTTAAAATAATAAATAACTTGAAGTATGGATAGTGTTCAAAAATTTCATTTTACCGAGAGATTCATTTAAATGAAATGAACTGATTCTAACTTGGAATAAGTATGAAATAAAATTAAAATGTAAATTTTACTTACTAATCTTACTAAACTAAGTTAAAGAATAATTTAGAGTTCTTACAAATAATATTACCTGAACTATTGAGATTAACTGAACTCTTCTAAATTTAGAATTCTGAAAAGTTTAAGTAATGACCTTTTTTAATAATTCGAGCTTAAACTAAATACTTTTATCTTCATATCGTTATCTTTATTCCCGTGATATTTATTCTAATGAGCGATTTAAATATCTTATTAGACGCAGCGCGATTGTCGAGGAAACAGTAAACAGAATTCACTTAGGATTTTGTTTTTGCAAGTTTAGATCGAGGGTAAAGGAGTTGGAAAAAATTACTAAATTACTTGCTACGGTGAATACTTGATAGTAAGATCCTTAAAGTAAGATTAACTATATATTTCTTTATCGAAGATTCGAATTTTTTGCGTACATACGTTACAACAGTTTACTAGCTCATTAAAATTTTTTATTCTTTTAGTATGCATATATTGTGGAAATTATGTAACGAACATTAGGACTAAACTTCAGATTAAAAAATTCTGCATGTAATAATTTACTTTTTTGTATAAGAGAGACTTATCCTCCGTTTAACCATCTCAGGAGCCGTGAGATATAATTACCCCACTTGTTTTTGATAATAATATCTCGATGAAAAATAAAAACATAACGGTTACTTACACAGCTTTTCACTGTTGTTGGGGCATTTTTATTGGCAGATAAATCACATGATAGGATTCAGTTTTCTCACATTGATTTCCATATTGTTTTGGTTGTTATCAGCATAAAATTAATATAAGTCATTAAGGTATTGTTTTCCTGTAAATATTTTTGCATCCCTAATTTAAAGATATTTATCTGTACCGTTATTATTACGTTTTTTATTTTGATTATATATAACATAATTCTAATCTACATTTTAAGATAAAGTTATTTAAATCGTTTTCTAATCTTATTAACCGTTTTAGAATTTCTATTTCTCTATTTTTTTTTCTTTTACGAATTATATTAATATATTATTATAAATTGCAGTTATAGATATTCGTTAAATGATTTAGAACTTAACGATCAGCTTTATGCACAATTTGATGCATGCGAAATATTTATTCAATATATCCTTCCGTTTGGTAAGCGAAAATAATAAATTACGATTCTGAATTCACCAAATTTGTCATAACAATATCATTTTAATTTTAAATGTTATTTTAAACAGTGTTTACTTAGAAAAATTACTTATGTTCTCTAATAGCTCTTAATGGAATCATAAGGGAAATATTTAGACGTTGGTACTAGGGACACAATTGTAAGTAAACAAAATTCTTTTTGGTACATAAATAAGTGAATAATTTCAACTTTCATAGAAAAAAATATGTCATGCCTAGAAACAATTCCGGCAATCTTTGGGATATGTGAATGACAGCGAAAAAGGAGCTTACACCCCTTAACAACTAGAATGTTTATAATTTTTATCTATTTAACTACACGATTTTCAAATAGACTGTATATCTAAATAAATATGAGAGATATTGTATACAACTAATTAATTTTGTAACATAGCAAATTAATATTGGGATACGTAATAGCTTAAATAACTATCGTAATATTCCTTTGAGTAACATTTTTATCCAAGTTATTATAAATATTTATTCAAATATTTTTATGTCTTATAGGACCTAACTTTTATCTAACCGGAGTCAAGCAAAAGTGTCTAACTCCGACGCAATTAAAACTGTTTTCGACTTTTAACTTCACAGACAATACAAAGAACGAATATTCACTAATGAAAAAAATTTTTTCTTCCAATAACGACTTCCTGCGTCAAGTTTTTCTTTTCACGGCCAAGCTCAAGATGCTGACATTTCTTCAGTTTCACTTTTGATCGAGATTTAGTAAGAGACTGTTTTCAAATTTTTTTTGCTGAAAGAAAAACACGTTTTGCAACAGATCTGGAAATTTACCTACTATTACCTCACTAGTTGCAAGAGAATCTCTACACTTAAACTAAATATAAAACTACATTTCGCGTCAGTCCTTGAAAACTTTTCTTTCAATATTCCTGTAAGTATCATACTTCGATTTTTTGTTTTGTTTTTTTCTTCGCTTTATTCCGAAGATAGTGGCTGATTGCTTTTATAGATAACGTTCTTGTCATGAATATTTTACTTATTTATTTTGCTACGTTGATACTTTTTCAGAACTGATTTTAAAAAAAGAAGAACTAACTCATTGTCATTCTTATAATTCGCTTTCGTCAATAAGCAACAGCATCCAATATTGTTAAGTTATTAACAATGTTTAATATTCACGGAACAAATTTCATTTTATGTAATTAGTGGCATTGGTGAACATGAACCACTATTACACATGAATACACACTACTTAGTTTACTTCTGAATAGGTCTTTTCGCCTCAACTATTTGAGTCTTTTTCTTACTTTTTAGTCAAACGATTAGTAAAACGAAAAACAAATGATCAGAAGTTTTTCTGAAACAATTTACTACACTAAAAAAAATCGTAAAAAATTAGAGTATTTTTTTGAAAAAAGTAAATTAACGAAATCCTTACCAATCGATTATCAGTTTTGTTATTAAGGAGAGCTCTAGCGTAAACATAATATACCATAATAAAAGTTGGACTATTTATAATATTTTAAATTTTGCTTTAATAATATGACATACAATGTTAGTAATGAATATACTTATTGCGTATTTTAATAGCCACTTCGATTTTACATATTTTTTGACTAACCGATAATGCGCTTAAATGACTCCACTAGATGTAGATTGATGCTACTGGGGACATGATATTAATTAGTTTTCAGAGGTAATTAAATACTAAGACAACTCTAATTCGAGTATTTATTTACCTAAATATGTCAATATGTTTTTATGTTATTTACAATTTTTCTCCGCATTTATTTGTTAAATGTGATTAATTCGTGTACTGCGAAAAATTTAGGAAAAATTAATACTTTGACATATTTAAGTTTATTTATTTTTTAATTTAAGTTTAATTATTTCATGTTTTATTTAAATTTTTTAATTTGAAATGTGATTACATATGAAATATTGAACTCACTATTGTTTGCATAACAAATAAGAACTAAATAAGAACTTCTAAAATTCTATTTATGCATTTTACTCTCTGCAGATCAATAATGATTTGTCAAATTACTTTATAAAATAAAAACTGAATTCTACCTAATAAGCAAACTATTTATAATTTTTCTACGAAATAAAGCTCAAAAAATACACTCCTAACGTAGCAACTAGTCTTTGAAACATTTTTTCTTACATTATTAAAATATAGTTCAATTGTTATTTAATAAAATAATATTTATTAGGCTGTAACACAAACATTAAAATTATTTGCTCAAGACTGTATTTTTAAAATTAAATTAGTTTCATTTTGATTTTATTAGCAATAATAGTTCCTACTTAATCTATAATTTCACGTAATAATTTTTACGTGTAATAATAGATTAAATAATTAATTTTATGACTTGTACTCACAAGTCATAAAATTATATGTATGCATGGTTCGGACAAATGACCGGATCCGGTCATTTGTCCGAAAACTCAAATACTCGACTCCGTTTTCTCCCAAGCTCATTTACCCGACAGGTACGTTTCTCAGACAACTCCATCTGTTTTCTATAGAATTTAGGACCATTCAGAATTATACGTAGTTAAGCATTCGAAGTTTTTCTTCTTTTTGTTTTTTTTTTAATTTTTAGTTATTTATTTTCTTTTTATGCTTTTTTTAAAAATCTTTTTGTTTCATAATTTTTTTTATTTATTTTGTATTTTGCTTTTTTTATTTATTTTTTTATATTTTTTAATTTATTTTTTTAAATTTTTTTTTTTTAAATTTCTTTTTTGACATTTTAAACATTTTTGTCTGCCCTTTCCCTTCTTAGTTAGAATGAATTCTCTGTTGTGCAATCACATTACAATGAAATATTGCGCGCAATACCACGTGAATAGTCCATAGAATAGTTCCTAGCAACAATTGCAGCTCAAATTCGATTATTTGTATTCGCTTTCTTTCTACGCATTGTCTACGAATTGGCGAAGAGGTTTACCACGAACAATATCCTCTGACCTATGTTATTCTTGAATCTGTTCCTCTTTAATTTCACCAATCATAGTACAAACATCCACGCGAGATGCCCCAACACATGGGCGGATCGTGCATTTGTGGGGCCCTGGGCTGAAACTACTTTGGGGCCCTAATAGCCATTTTGTCGAAAAAAAATGTCTTCTATAGTGATGTAGATAAGTATATAGAAAAAAATAGGACAATAAAATAGTTTTATTAATTTTTTTTATTTATTTATTTCTATTTGTCTATACAAACAGCAACTGTACAACATTATTGCAAAAGAAATTGACAGGTTAGGTGTAGTTATGTTATATAAATTATAAAGCAACCTTTCTGCACTTTTGTGNTAATATATATTTTTTTTAATATTAGATATTTTTTTAATTCAAAATATCACCTATTGTTTTCAGTGGGGACTGGGGCCCTTTGTATCCACGGGGCCCTGGGCTGCAGCCCAAAAAGCCCTTAAGTAGATCCGCCCCTGCCCCAACAAGCCTTTTTTATCAAGCAAATCCCCTGTCGAGCAAATTACTTTTCGGGCAAATTTTCAAAGCTCAGCTGACAAGGAAAATTTAAAAAAAAATAATAACAGTTTAAGCTTCTTACACTTGAAACAAAACTATAATTTTAAACTGTATGCGTTATCTTGCTGTAAAGAATTAGCTGGGCTTTACAATAGACAAATAACTAAAATATTTTAAAAGCTATCAAACTTTTTTAAAGAGCACAAATTTGGCGAGATTTTTCTACCAAGTTGAAAATTATCAAAATCAGAACCTTATTCCCATTTATTGTAAATTTTTATGAGCTCAGGTAATGCAACATTGGATTCAGTGTTTAAATATTAAAAAATTAGACCACAAACGCTTTTCATTTTCTAAAACTGTGACTCTTCTCCATATTAATGTTTTACACCATTTTCAGAATAAACATACTTTTTTACAGTGCGCTGGCTTGGCATAACAGGAACAACTTTTGCAAACTCACATCAGTTATGAAAAAGGCATCATTTCATGCTACTACACAGCCTTCGAAAAAACAGCTTTACTTTTACCTAGGATTACCTGGCGATGGTGAATAGGGATTTTACAAGACAGAATCCAATTGTTAAAGATAGCTAAGTTCTATAAAAAATTACAGTATTTTTTTTAAAACAATTTAAGCAAATAAATGGTAACATCGTAAAGAAAAAAACAGCCAATCAACGATATTAATAATGAGCACTAAAGTAAGTACTCTCAACTGGTATAATAAACTAGTTAAAAAGAGATGAGATTAAGAATAGAATTGTTTCTATAAACAATAACTCGGGTTTTCAGTTGGATTCAATTATTTTAAATATTAAAGGGGGAAAAATAGAAACAGTTACAATGGAGCGCATTTTTTTCATGATGTTTCAGGTTTTTGATATGATCATAGATATCTCTGCGTTGCTGGTTTCAAATCTGCAATCTTTTTCTCCCTACAAGCTACAGCTTTTATGCAATTCCATTATATATTCCTAACCAGAATTTTTTCAAAATTCTCTCGAGTGACTTCGAAATGTCCCACTTCTCTGCTACGTAAGGAGTGGTAACAAGAAGGCAAAAACATTTCAGTTCATGACGCGATAAGTTAAGCTAATATATTTTTTGTCTTCAGTGTTCTTTTCAAAGGAGCAGACAAATGTATATGTATGCATATACACCTATATGTTCTTAATAAACTTGTACAGTCAGAAAAAAATAAACTGAGCGAAAAATGCAATTTTAAAAAAATTCTGTAGCTTCTGAAATAAAAATAATTTTGAATTTGAAATCTGAATTAGGTAAGATCAAGTACTTGTATAAATGCGATAAAGAAAAAATCCCCCGTGTTATTTTTTCAAAATTTTTTCCTTCTGGAAAATCTTTTTTAACTGAAAATATCTTTTAAAACAACCACAACTATTTCAGTCGGAGAGAAAACGATGACATGCATTTTTAGTGCGTCAGTTACCTATGATCTCGTATGTCTTCCTTTTCCGCACTATTGCATCTAACACTTTTAAATGAAGTATAATTCTTACGAATGAAATAAATTGTATGCATCATGTTCCGTGACACATTCTTTTGATTAAGGGCTTGTAATATTTATTATTTTTATCGCTCTCAGCATTCATCAAATAAATACAAATAGTCATTACATTATTTAGTGTTTCTACTATTTTTATCATGTATCCTGATGCAGATTTACATATTTAAGGCAGTACAGATGAACTCGAATTAAGTTAATTTTTTACTAAAGAGTTTTTTTTTTTTTTTTTTTTTAAAATGGAATCTATACATACCTTACAATTCAAAAAGTTTTCGACTATTATTAACTAAAATAATAAATATTTACTAAAAATTATTTTTTGCACGTAGTTAACGAATTTGAATTAACGAATTTTTTTAATTGTACGCACAAATGCTTAATATCGCTTAAAAAGTCCTCTCAAGATGTGGCGAAATACGCAAAAAGTAAATTTACCATTAGGGGATTCCAACTTTGGATTGCTGTCTTGACCAAACTATGGGGACCATATTTCCCAGATTGCGGCTAATTTCTATATTTGGGAGGGCAAAAATCCGAATCCGTTAAAAAAAAAATTTATGTTTATTCAGAGAGAGTACGTTTTTTGTGTCTGATTTTGTAACTTCAGATATCGGCTGCAATAATTAATTAGCATATTTGTGGCCACTCTCTCAAATCATTATAAACGGGTCTTAGAACGTGAAGATCCGATCTATAGAACAAAACTTTTTTAGGATTTTCCGTTATTTATTTTTTTTCGCCGTCTTTGTATATAAACCTATGCGTTTCTTATAAATTAGAACAATCTGACGAAAAATAAGACTAAATAGAAAAATATCATTTTGAAAAACAAATATGAAGGTTACTAAATAAAACTTATTTCATATTTGAATTTGTTACATCTGAATCGTGTAATATCAATACTGGTATAAAAGCAGCAAAATATCAGTTCCCTAATGTTCTTCAGTTATATACTAATTACCTACCACTTCATTTTAAAATTAAAGAAACGTTTAAAATTAAGGATAATATGACATGCTGTGCTGACACACTGATGTACAGGGTGATCTGATATGTATTTAACAAGGAATCCGAATCCCGGTGCGTAGGCTAGTGGAATTTGGATTTCCGTTTATTAAAAGGAAAAGATTAGGTAGGGCATGGGCACAGAAGCAGTGCCAATGTATTACCTATTGCAAATATTATGAAAAAGTAACGCCTACTTTCTACCCTGTACTGATATTGACGTTTTACAGTCTTGTGAAACGGCACAAGAATGAAGAGTAATTGCTAACATTAACGTATGCAGCAAGATGCACTGCTTTTCATCAAAAACAAATTGTAATAGACAAATCAAAAGAAAGCCAAATCTGGACGGCAAAAGAACGAGTTCCTCATGTTGCCTTTTTTTAAAAACAAAATATCTATAAGTAACAAAATCAAATTTTCACATCTAACTCCCCAGAATTACTTAATAAGATTAATATCTTAGTAAATGCAGCAGGTTTGAGCTCGGAATTTATACCATTTATTTCTTTTATTGAAAACAAACTGCTTGAAAATATCGCCTCGTGCAATGAGCTGTAGCAAGCAGCTGTAAACTTTCTAACTGAAAGTCGTAAAAGTAAAAAGCTCAAGTTTTTTTTTTGTTTACATGTTTATTGAAAACATCACCTTAGCAACAATTTTCCCTTGGCCCCAGTTGGGCTCAATATGAGTCCTATATGAACAAGCACCGAGGAACCAATATATATGGATGTCTAGAATTTTTTACATTGGTCTTACATAGGGGTAATCTCGGTCTTCATGGGGCCTATATTGGCTGATTAAGGAATATAAAATATCGGGGGAATCTAATAATTCTATATAGGACGGATATTGTTTGTAATGTGGTTGTAAAATAACGTGAAAAATCGAACAATTCTATCTAGGGTTAATATCGGAAAGATAACGGCTCTTAGAACCCTTATTGAGGCAAGATTCGTGAATGAGGGCCCAAGTTATTTTGCTGCTAAGGCATCTACATTGTTATTTACCATTTTGAATCATGCACTTTTTCCCCTCACTGATTTAAGTGAATTCTGATAATAGTTTATTAATTGTGGCCTTGTAAGATCAAAGTGTTTTCTATCAATAAACACACAATACATGATTCCATAAAATTAGAATTAAGAAACACATAGTTGAAGGTTTTCAGTAAATTAAGAATATGAACATGAACTGGCATTTATCAATTTAGGAGGGAAGAAAGAATTTCCCAAACTAATATTTACACCAGTGATCCTTAATTAGTTGTGGTAATGGATACTGATATTGCAGTAATAGGTTCTTCGGTAATCGATACATAATTAACTAATATAATTTCTTAAAGTAGGTACGGAATATAGGTATCGTGGTATTAGTTTTCTTGACAGCCCCTCGAAACAAATAAGCGTCGTAAACTGCATTTAATTACAGAAAAAGTTGTGATTTTTTATAAAATTAATAAAAAATTGTTTATAAGTTATAAATAAGTAGTGCATTTAAATTCATTTATTTTATTTGTTTCTTAAAAAATATTTTATCAAATACTATTTTCTCACACAAGAAAAATATTTTATGATGAAATAAAATAAGTTGTATTACCTCATGGGAGAACTAAAGAGATCAACACAGCTGAAGAAAACATAAAACCATTATCACGAAATAACATACTAAATATCACCTTGTGAAAAGTACTACAGGAAATAGCAGCATTTCTTTTGCGTTTTTTTTGGGGGGGGGTTGTCTGGGGCAAGGTTGTTTGCGGTAATTTACAGCCAACCACTGAAACTGCTGCCTCACTGTCTGCATGGTATTGCCTCCCTGATGAAGCTGCCATGTATATCAGTGCATCAACTTTTAATATCGTTTAAAATGTCTCCTTTTTGATAATCAGGTTGCTATTTCCTGTCGTACTTTTCAACCATTTTTTAATACCTTGTCTGGCACGGGTGTCTCTTTTCTTTGTTTTATTTATGTTTTACCTATTTCTACTTCTAGAAAAATGGGGATTCGAATAACTGTATTGTCAATAATCATCTACCTGAGCGTTTCAGGCATAGACGCTGCCTCAAGACCTTTCACAGCTGCTGCATATGATCATGCCCGATTTGGAAGGCTAGACGATCCCCCAGTCCGTGTTTTGGAAGTAAATTTGAAGAAGTATATACAAGCTGCTGAAATTGCAAGCTCAAAAGTAAGAATAAGTCAAATCCGACTAAAAACTTTATATTTTGATTTCATTGAAGACAAATATTTTAATAAAAAGACTGCCCTTGAACCACTAAAAGTCTCATTCTCCTTCAAAGTTTGTCAATAAAGTATTTATTTACTACGTATTCTATTTACAAAGTCCTTGTTAAAAACTAAAATAAACCACAAAACAGGAAAAAGTTCAAAAGCACAAAAGTTGTGGCCAAGTTATAAATATGATTGAAGTGTACTTTCATATTTCAAACTACCATTTAAATTTTTTTTAAAAATCTTGTGATAAGAACTTTAAATTTGTGCTTTTTGTATTTCTATCGAAAACAGTTTTCTGGTGTTTCGTTTTAAATTTATACTTCTTTCAGAAACTATTAAAAAACGAGATTATTTTGTTAAAATTTCTGATATTTTTAGAGATGTTAATAACAGTGAAACTGTGACGTGTGACTGTATCCCTACTAATTTTTCATTATCTGATATTTTTCCTGATGTATATTTTGTATTCAGTATTTTTTTTTATCCTTATCTGCATAAACAACTATTTATGTAAGTTTTTATTTTTTAAATTTTTTATTTTTTAAATTTTTTTTTTTATATTTCAGGGAGCTGACATTATTGTTTATCCAGAATACGGATTATTTTATCCAGGAGACCGATCCCAATTAAAGTCTTTCCTAGAAGACATTCCAGATCCAAAAAAGTTCCAGGCTAATCCATGTGATGAAAAAGATTATTATCTGAAAAAACCGATTCTTTACACGCTTAGCTGCATTGCAAGGAATAATTCAATTGTCGTAGTTGCAAACACTGGCGACATCAAAAATTGCACCGGTGAATCAGAATGCCCTGAAGATGGGGTATTTCATTACAATACAAATGTTGTTTTTGACCGAAATGGAACACTGATACTCAGGTACTACAAGGAACATTTATTCTTTGAATTAGGCATGGATTTGCCAAAAGAGCAACAAGATCCAACATTCACAACTGATTTCGGCACTTTTGCCACTTACATTTGCTTTGATATTATATTTGAAAGAATGAGCCAAGTTGCTAAGTGGCCACAAGTTGATGGCATAATGTTCTCAACCATGTGGTTTGAAAATCCTCCACAGTATGTCTCAGTTCCATTATGGCAAGGGTGGGCATTAGGGAATAATGCCACAATCGTGGTTTCTAATGTACAGAGCCCTAGTTTGTATGCAGTTGGAAGTGGAATATTCCATAAAAAATTTGGATCTCTGGGCTATACATATAGTCCTGACAGCGTGTCAAAGGTGGTTGTGGCGGAAGTTCCTGCTGAGGGTGAACCTATCTCAAATACAAGCCTAATTGCTTTCACTGATACCAAAATCTGGGATTGGGTAGATGATGGCGAGGATGTACCAAAAATTTGTTCCAATCTTATAATCAATGACACTGATCATTTTTCAGGTAAATTTTATTGTTTCGATGAGAAAACCTCAAACTATACTCTTACAAAACTTGTAGATCCCAGCGGCCAAATTGAAGCATGTAACAATGGAATGTGCTGTTCCTTAAATTATACAGCGGAATCTATGGAAGAAGAGTTTTACTTGGGTGTTTACAATGGGACATTGAATTCCTTCAACCGTTATCACTGGTGTGAGGAGAGTTGCTTTGTTGCCAGGTGCGATTCTATTGATGGTCAGCCCTGTTCAACTTTCCCTAGAAGAGCAAGCACAATATTCAAGCATGTAGATTTGAAGTCTAACTTCTCAACAGAATTCATCTATCCATCTGTGGTCAGTAGTAAGAGCAGACTGGTGCCTAAGAATGAGTGGGAGTTTGACGTGACGCATAGATCTGCATACGAAAGTTCCATACATTTCCACAGTACTACAGGAAAAAATCTGTTATCGGTGGGCTTCAAAGCTCGTTGTTACAACAGAGATCCTCCATATGTTAGATAAGAAATTGATTTGTCTACTTCTTAAATTATCCTACAAGTTGTTTTTAAAATAGCTTGTAATAACTATTTTTTTTTTATTCTTACTATATTGTGTCGAATAAAAATTAGCATTAAAAACCTAGTTTTAATTATTAAATATCTACATAGTTTTCATAAAATATACATGTGGGTTTTTTTTAAATTTATTTTTATACTATTTTTTTTTTTACATATATAGGTTTATATTATATAAATAGACTCATCTCATTTTCACTCAAAATTTCTTATTTTTGAGTTATGTACAAAATCGCGGGGAGTTTTGATCATTGCAAAACTTTTCAATTTCCGCTTTAATGGAATTTTTTTTAATAAATTTTTAAATAAAAAAATTACTTTTTTACTATCAGTATTTTTTTAATTTTAAAAACCGAATATTTTTAAACTTTTTAATTATTTGATACTGTGCCGTGCTGGAAGTTAATTATTATAATTATTGAATATAATTTAGCACTGGCTGTGGCGTTTGACCCAAGAACCACTTTTGCAATGAAGTATTGTGAGAATCATGGTAGTGTTACAATGACTAACCTAAGGACAGAAATATTACGAAATAAATATAATATTTAGACTCAGCTACCCACATTAGAAAACATTTCACAAAAACATCCATTTTTCAAAAACATTTTATTGGATGCTATTTTATTTGCAGCAGTTGTTCTTTCGTAAACTGAAAGTAAATAAATGAAATATGAAATACTAAACAAAGAAAGCAAAATAGTAGCAATAGTTTTAATATTATAATGCTATTGCTATTTGGTTGAAAATCGACAACTAACTCAGTGCGGTGCAGCGAAGCAGCAACAACTGATTCGTCGAATTTAAATGACATAAACTGAACAATTTGTAGTATGAAGGAATAAGTAGGAAAGGGAAAGCTGCCAGGCACCAGTAAGATGGTTTATAAGCTATTAAATAAAAATCATGAAGTTAAAATATAAGTTGAATAACAAACTACAATGAAATAAAGAACGGAAATATTTACAGAGCTATGCCCAATATTTACACGAAAATCTAATAAATCCAGTATTTCAAATAAAATACTATCTTGATTGAGTTATTTAAGTCCAAAGTGACTTGAATAAATAATTTAGAATAAGATTGAAAAAAAAAACGCACACACAATTGGTTATACTATAGCCTACGTCACAGATCGTGTTATTCTTACTAAATTTAACTCGTAAACAGCATTTTCTGCGAACCTGATTTCTAGCAACAAGTAAAAGCATCAAACGAAGTGTCTTGTTATAAGTCGCTACTCGCCAGGTTGGAATTGTATTAGTCTAGTTCCTTTGGAAATAATTTATATTGTTGATTTACCGAAGTTTATGAATTTAGTAAGCATATTTAAAACTCAGTTTATTAATTAAACTAAAAGGTAAATGTTATTCCTAGTAAGTGAAAGTAGTTGTGCTTTTTTCATATTATACCCAATTAGAATTAAGTTAACATGAAGAATTAAAGTTTGTTTAAATTTGAATCGAAATAACAACGGAGTTCTAACAATGATAAATAAATAATGATACATTGATAAATGAAACATTTTATCAAATAGAAATGGTTTTTCATCCAGACTGTGGAAAAATTGTTTGCTTTAAGTTATATAAATCCGAATCCTGGAGAAATAAGAGTAAATGAATGAATAAAAAATAACTTTGGATTAGCTTTAAGAAATTACGCCGTTTGTAATTACGATGTTTTATGCAATGGCTGGCTTTTGACATCCATTGAATATTACATTAATTATTCCTCCTTTTTTTTTTCATAAAAACCACTCAGAACGAATTTTCTCCATCTATTTGGCGCAATGCCGAACAGTGCGATCATCAATGTTACTTATTCCCAAGAGGAATTAAGCAACCGCTTCACGCTCAGGAGAAAACTCCATTCCACATCATCGTGGTTGGGTTTTCTGCGAAGTTCGGTGAGTGAACTCGCTAATCATACTATAGAAATGATCCTATGAAGTATGATCTTGATTATTTCAAGAATTTCAAAATATATATACACTCTATTATGTAAATTATACTGGTATTTATACTTTCAAAATTTTTAAGATTTGTTTATATTAAGTTACCGAAAAATTGGCAATCGATTAGAAGCAACACCGTATCTCTTATCAAATTTCCAATTAGAATTATGATCGATGAGGAATAGTCCTCCTAAGTAACAATAGGTAATGATATTATAATCTTATATCAGACGCTCACGATTCGGCCGCAATATTAAACATTTGGGCAGAGATAAAGTAACGCCTACTTTCATTTGAATCGTAAGTCATCAATATGAATAGATATCTTCTGGAACACCGAATCTCTTACAAATTTCCAATCAGAATTATGATCGATGATGAATTGTCCTCCTAAGTAAAGCAATAGCTATACTAGGCGTTTACGATTAGGCCGCAACATAGAAAATTTGGGCAGACATTGAAAAGTAACGCCTACTTTCAACTGAACCGTAAGTCATCATTATGAAAAGATATCTTCTAGAAAACGAGGCGTTAAGTTAACACTTTGAGGGCAGGAAATTTAATTAAAAAAAAAAAACAGAATTGTCAATATTATTTTAGCTTAGCTTTAATTAAACAATTTATTTAAATGGATTTTTGATTTCAAATTATGTTTATATTTATATGCTTATATTTATATGTGTAAATTTAGTTTCGATATTCAAATGTTTATTTACCCAAGCAAAGTGCTTGTAATTTTGTATTAGCAACCACATCGACTGCTAAATTCAAAATGTTATCACTTTAAACTTATGTAAATTTCTAGATGTATGGGATAGGGGCCGCTGCGCGGCCCAGGTGCCCAATTTTTTATAAATAAAGTAAAGTAAAGTAAATGGATTTTTGAGTTATTTTATTTATTTTGTGGTTAGTATTGAAAACCACAGCCCTTCAGAGAGATAATCGAATTTCATTTTACTGCAAAGTTTTACCGAGTATGAATTATTGAAATTTCAAAAAATGAACAATTTAAAAAGGCTTTTTGTGACAATTGTAATTTTATAGCACCTCTGTAAGCCATATCGGTAGCAACGGCTCTCATTAATTCATCGGATCTGACAGGACTCAAAAGAGATAAAAATAATGACATGGCAAGGCATTTTAGGGCGTCGGCCGAAAATCGTTAATAAAAGGATACTTCGTTCCGATCATGGGGGGGGGGAATGTTAAAACTTATTAAAACCATCATATTTGATCCATACAATATGAATTTATAAATTTCTAATCACATTTGTTTGCACATTAATCAGTGGCGTAGCGAGCTTAACNCAGCAATTTTTTGTTTTGCGGACCATTTGGCGCCCCTTTGTGAGTAGCGCCCGGGGCATGATGACCCCCCTTGCCCACCCCTCACTACGCCACTGACATTAATCTATATTTATTCAAAAACCTCTGCATTCTATTTTTTTAATGATCTTTCTTCTGCGCGTTCGATGTATTTCGGCGAGATAAAGTCCTGTCCAATCAAATTATAGAAATCTTTGTTTACATTTACGTCGCCCTTTCTACCAAACTAGAGATTGAAAAAATTTTCCGATAGGAGCTCAATCTTTCAATACCAAAATGAATTTTCTCCAACATGGCGGTGCAACGACCCATCTTGTTACGAATGGATAGTTGACGGAATGTAAACATGCATGAATGGTGTTTTCAATATAAATATAAACAACAGCAATCTCGAGCTCTTGACCTGCTCTACTTCTGGTTAGAAAGTTTATAGCTGCTTACTACAGCTTATTCTGCGAAGGGATATTTTCAAGCAGATAATTTTGTTTTTAATAAAACAAATAAATAATATAGTTTCTGATCTCAAATCTGCCGTATTTCATATTTGTTTTAGTAATTTATTGGTGTATTTATAAAAATAAGAGAGAGAGACATGGTTGATAGATTTAGAAAGAACACGCTTTGTGGCTGTACCGATTTATCCTCCTTTTACTTGTTTATTGCTGTTTGTTCTTGTTGGAAGTCGTGCACCATCATAGGTCATCATATTGTCCAAGCAACGAGATCAAGTTCATTTTACAAATTATTATTTGGATTTAAATTTTGAAGTTGGTATATTCTTGACAAGGTAAGAAACGTTTTATAACAATTCCTGCTTTTCAAATGACGATTTTTACTACTTGAAATGACAAGTCTTCACATGAAGATTCTTGTTTCAAACGCAAATATATAATCAGGTAACAAATACACATATACAAGCTTCTTTTACGTAAATTTGTGATTTAAATAGTATATATTGTTTCCTTTGAAATTATCCAGTACCTTAAAATAAAAAACAAATTCTTGCAAATTTCTTAAATTAATCTTTTTTATTAAAATAGGCCAGTATAACAGTAAGCTATCAATACTGGCAATATAAAAACTTAGAAGATGTTGAAGTCAGTTGCATTGACACTGGTCGGTTATAGAAAAGCCTTGAACTTGAAAGAACTTGGAACCTCACTTTTTGTTTCCCTTGATATCTATAACCACTAAAACATGCATAACAAAATTAATTAAAGCATTATATTTCATACTAAAACTATAATTTTTTTTGGAAAAAAGAAAAGAATAAAACTTTATTACAATAGCGTTTCCCGTTTCCTCAAGGTATTAGAAGGCATTAACTATTAGTAGTACATAATCGCCGCTTTGCAGATTAGCTATCACTAAAGACAACTTTTATCAGCTATTATGAAGAAAAAATATATTATTTTACTCCCCATCTCATGTATACTGCATATCTATTTACAAAACATGTTTACTTAAGGTAAATATTGGACCGTTCCAGAGAAATCATGAAGAGGAAGAAAAGATCTTTCCTACATTGATTTGAACTTTTTTAGCCTAATGTTTATAATTTAAAGCTATATTTCAAACACTAAATTGATCAAAGAAATGTTTTATTGTAATTTCATTAAAAATATGATAAAAATTAAAGCAAAAAAAAATAATAATAATATATATATATCGAAACTGTGCCTCCTGTCTCAAAGAAAGAAAGAAAATACTCCATGAGCAACACAAATGAATATTGGTTATCAAAATGGGCTACAGGTGGCGTAGAGCAGAACTCTCTAACTGTTTTAACAATTCGCATGCTTTCACCATTAGCGTGTAAACAGTAATATAAGAAGGAAGTACTACGTTAGTTTCTGTCTTGATTTTTCAAATAGATTAAAAAAAATTAAGATCGGAAACTATATAGAATTGAACACTACATTAAGCATAGTTCTAAAAAAGTGTCGTGGAAATTTTAAAAAATATTTTTGGCAAAAATTTCAAGAAAGGGGAAAATATCGTAGCTCGTTCTTAGGAGGAGAGGGAAAAAGTGAGGGTCTAGACATGGAACCGGTGATTAGTCCTGATGGCGTATTCAAGGGTTGCGGTCGCGAATATTGGATGAAATTTTTTTTTCGCATGTGGAAATCACATGCTAACGAGAACCGGTTGACAAATTATTCGGTCGTAAATATTCCCGTCCAATCTGGTTTTCAATCGCATGCGGCAAAAATTATAGCAAGGAGAATGGTTCATGAGGAGTCACTGAATACTCTTATGGGAACTGATTCGTAAAGAAATAAGCAGCCGGAGACGTTTATTTATGTTTAATTCCACTGTTATTGTTTTGGTTTCCTATTAAGAAAGAATAATATGATATTAATCATTAAATCGAATATTTTTTTCTTACAAATTTTAATATTTTAAAAATTATAAAGAAATAGTGTTTATCTCTTGATAAAAACGCAACTTTTTGTCTTTTTCTCCTCAAAATTTTGTGTTAGTGAGTTCTTATACTTGATTTGCATTAAACTGGGAACAGATTTCAAAACTTACGGTAATTTCTATGCAAGGAAAATATTTACTTTATAGAATAAGATCTTTGTTTATACGTTATAAATAACTAATTTCAACACCGGATTTATAGGACAAATATGTATTGCACAGTCATTTTGTCCATCATGCTATGTCTGTGTATATATCAAGGTTGGATTTTACGAGAGATTTGCCAAGGAGGTCCCATCCCAAAAAAATGAAGAGGTTTTTTCAGATTGGGCCCACTTAAATAAACTTATCTTTATACAAAGTGCTTTTTTTTAATTTTTAAATTTTGTCATTTCCAATCAATTTTCTTTGCAATTATCAAGCCAGGTTGTTCTTTGAACTTAGCAACTTTTTGTACTATAATTTTGACTTGTTTTTATGGGAAGAAAAGCATATGATTGACGTATATAAGACGCATTTACATGATTGAAAAAAGCAAATTAATAAATTTTAATACATTAATTATTTTTATACATTATTTATTTTTATACATTACTTATATCATTGATATGCATACACATTTCACTTATTGCATAATCTATTTGGATATAAACCCTTCAGCTAAAGTACATCAACGGATGTATATGATATATTTAGTCTAAGAATGCAATAATAAGCTTTTCAATTAATAAGAAATATATCTAGAGTGCCTATTTTTGGAAGAAAAAAAAAGAAGACCAAAATGTTTCCAGTTTATTTTAAGATTTCTATTATAACATGTTATCTATCTACTGTAACTTTTGAAGAAAAAAAAATCTATGTTTAATTTTAAGGTTTGAGTGTTGAATCCATAATTTAGCAGAAAACTATAATTTAGAATAAAAGTTGAGAACATTTAAAATTTAATTGCTCATTTTTTCACTGTTTCATGTATAACAGCTGGATTAGAAAGAATATTTTTAAATAGTTCAGTTCATACTGTGAAATCGCTTAAGGACTGAAAAGCAGGAAAAATTCCTCTTATGTTTTAATAAAAAATAAAATAATAAAGAAAGACATTCTGATATAAGCTCTCAGTTCAATAAAATTGTCATGACACTTGAAATTAAGTTTATATTTTACATTTTTATTAATAACAACAATGTAGTTTATTTAATATTAATCCATAATCTTATTTTTGTTTGCTATTATTTTATTTGGTAAAAATTGTGTTTAGTTACAAAATAAAGATTAAATTATATTGTGAACATATAATAATAAAATTGTTAATTACTAGAATGTGATATATTGGATTATAGATATATATTGGATTATAGATATATTGGATATATTGTGATATATTGGATTATAGATATATTGTGATATATTGGATTATAGATATATTGGATATATTGTGATATATTGCATTATAGATATATTGGATATATTGTGATATATTGGATTATAGATATATTGGATTATATACACATTATAGATATTGGTCATTCACTTACACATAATGATCAATTAAATTTAATGAACCTTTTAATTAAGCCTTAAATTATGAATGCTTAGAAAACAAATATTTAAAATTGATTGTCATTTTTTTTTATTGCACATTTTAAGAAATTAAAAAAAAAACACATATGAAATATGAATGAACATATCATGTGCAACAAATAAATATTTCATTTCACGAATGTATACAATACTTCAAGAAACTCCTTTCATTATCTTTTAAAGCAAATTATTTACTTATTTATAATATGAAACTAATTGCATTACATATTATACTTAACAAATACTCATTTCAGTAACTATCATTATGCAATTCATTTTACATTTAGAAGGCAGAAAAAGGACCGAAATACTCATTCTTCGACAAAATAATTTTTTTATATAAATTCATTTTGTAATAATCGAGTAATATTTTTTCAGGATTGGTTATTCTTATATTTAATGTACACACATAAACAGGAGTGTGTACGTATAATGTATTTGAAAAAACCTACTTATCTCTTGACAAAATTGAGACTCTCAATAAGTATTTTTCACTAAACTTTAATATTGAGAGAAATGCCATGATTTCTATGTTTTCAATTTAATAAAAAAGAAATGCAATTTAGTTTTTAAGTGATATTTTTTGAATAACCCCATGAATAATTAATTATAATTTCTTGTTTCAAAAATAGCTGATTAAATATTATACTAGATTACAGTACAGAGTTAAACGTGCATGGCGCTCCATTTTTTTTAAACATATTATTTAAACTTCACACTAACAATATTTATTGTAAGTACATAACTGATACATTGTCTTTATTTTTCTAGAAAAAATGCTTTTTGAAATTTTTTAACTTTTTGTTGTATTTGAACTTTTTAAAATCTGTCTTATTTTTACCTTATACAGGGAGCTATGGGTCACTTTTTCTCAAAATTCATATTGCTTTATAAAACTATCTTTTTTATAATTATTATGGAATCTATGTTTTTTAAATGTATTAAAATTTTGCAGTTATTATTTTGTGACTTACTTCCAGTATAAATATTTTTATTAGATTGTCCCATCCCTCTCTACTCTGCCTTATAGTTTGTAATTTTATAAATTTACTAAAGCAAATTCTTAAATTATAAATTTTTAAATATTTAAAGATCCTCTCTCTTTTTTTTAACAATTATTTGAAGTAGAAATAAATTTCAATTTTGTATTCTTAATTTCTTTTATAGTTTTATTTCATTGAAAAACTCTTATCTTTTCAAATACTTAGATAGATTTAATTAAATCTTTATACAGTGAAATTACTCCTTTATTTTTCATGTCATTTAAAAAATTTTGTTTTTGTTTTAATAATTTGTAACTTTTTTTTATTAAGTTTAACCTTTTTTTGTTTAAATTTTAAAACCTTAACAGTACATAAAGTCCAAATTATAATGTACAAATTTGAGAACAGGCAATAAAGACAAACAATTCATTGCTTAAAAAAAAATTAAAAAAAAAAAAAAGCTTGAACTTTAATTTTGTTATTGAATAAAAACATTTTTTATTTATTTAGTTAATCAAAATTGTATTTGTTTTTTAAATTAGTTAAAATTAAATTTTAATAACTGCATTTTTTTTTCAAATTAAACTTACTGCTGAAATTTTACAAAAAAAAAATCAGATTGTATTTTTATATAAATAATTGATAACCTACATTAGAAAACAGCATTGACATTTAAAGTACCTTATTCTATCTTTAAAATGTCTTCTTTAAAACAACTTTACCACTATAGAGCTGCCTGCAGATATTTCATTATTTATAGTGGTCTACATTTAAATGTGTATATACTCGTAATTTTAGAGTTATAATGTTATAGCAGTAAAACTTTCTTTATAAATTATTAGAGCTCCTAACTGTAATAAAGAGGTTTTTTTTCCCCAATAAATTTTGCTTTCCATTTACTATATGCTAAATACTAGAAAATCAATGCCTATTGCTTGACTTTAAACATTGCATGCCATGAGCTATTGAAGGTGTCAATAATAATGTATGTACTATTATGTAAAAGTTATATTTGAAGTTTTTCATAAGATGGTTTAATCCATAGTTAAAACTGATGTAATTTGCCATTCCTGGTGAAATTCTAAATTTCACTTTCAAAAAAAAATTTTTTTTTTTTAGACATTTACTTTCATTATCTTTCTTTTAATGTGATTAAAATTTTTCTTTTTACTCTTAGTTAAAAGATGGCTATTGCAAGACCTCTTGGTATGGAATTTGATCATAGCTGGCCTGAGAGTGCAGAGTGTCTTACTTTAGATTTTGGTCCTTTTGAAACTGCACATCGTTGGAGAAGAATGCCTGAATGTGATGAATTTGTTGGAGCAAGGTAATTGAACTTCTTGTGAAACCACTTTTCAAGATTTAACTACAATAACGAATGCCCAAAATGGGGGTCAAAAGTGCTACTCCATCTTGGGCACCCATAATTGTAGCCCCTTTCTTAAATTGTCTTGATTCCCTTCTGAGGACAAAAATTATGTTTCGTTTCTAAATGTCATTAATTTCAAATTGATACAAATTAGGTTTATGGCATGTTATATTAAATCTACTGAACTGGCTGATTCATAAACTAAGTACAAAAGTTATCTTTTTAAATTTAATGCCATAATTAGTTATATTATTTTTTTTTCTTACTAACTATAAATAGCTATATATATAACTACAATATATACCAAAAAAAATAATAGAACACCAGAGCTTTTATTGTGTGTGTTCATACTATATTTGATTTAAAGAATTTGAATGAAGCTGGATATTTTTTTAAACTATTTATTTTTTTATTGAATTGTAATTTTTGTATCAAATATAAATTTTTTGCCTATAATTTTTAGTTTTATAGTTTTAATTAAATTATTCCATTTGTTTGTGAAAATTTCTGATACGCACTTGTAAAACTATGCTACAAAGGCAAAATTCTACTAAATACAAAAGAAATATAATGCATGATTTTTAAAAGACAATTTAATATTTTCCTGGCTACACCTTTTTTTTTTTACCACATCCTTAAATACTAAATATCTGAAAATATCATCAAAATAAATAGCTTAAATCAGCGCTCTAATTAATCTGAAATATAATTACTTTAGAACAGTTATTTGTAGTTAAGTTGCAAGTCTTTAATGTTTTACTGTTACTAAAATGTTAGAGAAAAAATATATTGAGTGGATAAATTAAATGAGTTACGGATATAGACTGTTCTAAGTTATTTGTCTTGTGGCTTACTAGATAAGTTATTCCTAGTGTTTTATAAGATTTTTCCATTATATGAAATATTTCTTTATGATATTCTGTAAAGACATTTTTGGACAAAAAATAGCCATAATATTTATATGACTCTGTATATCTATATATTTAGTAATTCTCAATGAGAATTATTGAGCACTTAATTTAGTTTGGTATTAGTCAAATATTTTTGCTCTTTATGCAATAACTCCTCTGAATTGATTAGATTATTTTATAAGCTGCGAATCTTTATATCTTCATGTTGTGATTAAAATCGGCTTAGATTGTCTGAATCCACCATGTGGCTTAAAAATATATTAAATACAAAGTAATATAATGCCAGTTGCCCATATTTTATTTTTTACAATGCAATAGCAGTAGCAGAATGTTAATATTTTTTTATTGAAATTTTATTACATTTTGAAGTTGTGCTTTTAATATTTACAATTGTTATGCACAGTCAACAAGTGTGAGAATGTTTTAAAAAATAAAATAAATATTGAATGTCACTCTAATTAAAAATCTTCCATAAAAATTGAGTTTTTTTTACTGAAATTAAATCTTGTTTTAAACAATGTAAAAATAAAAAAAAAGTCGAATGTTTGATAACTTTTTATAGTACTGAACTGGCTATCTATCTTTTAACTTTTTTCATTCGCACTTCTCATAATGTTATAATGTTTTTCTAAATTATTATTCTTATTTTTCATTTTGATATGTTTTTTTTTTTTTTTTTTTTTTTTTTTTTTTTTTTTTTTTTTTTTTTTTTGTTTAGAGTAGAAAAATGTTGAGGAGAATTTATTCAAATTTTTGTCAGTCATGTGCATTGTATCATGATGTTGAACTTTTATTATTAAATTGAATAGACTTTTAAAGATTTAAATCATGTTATTACTTTGCAAAATAAATTAAATTATAAGCTTATTTCAATCTTGAATTAAAGATTTTTACTATTTACTTTTTTAAAATGTTAGGACATCTGAGTTTACTAATTTTTTATTTTAGTATTTTTTAACTCTTTCAATTACTGTTTACCATAAATGTCACACAAAATTATCAGAACAACATAGTAGTTGTGCCAGAATTCCTATTAAGTTTCTCAATAATAGGAGCATAGCCCGAATTAACATGTACGTTTTGTTAATTCTTACCGAAATAGTCTTAATTTTTTTATAAAAAGTGTGATACTTTTTCTTGGCTATAGGTTATATGCCTTCCCCCTATCTGTATTTAAAAATAATAATAATACTTATTATTTTATTATTTTTGCTTTACTTAACCTAATTCAACTTTCAAGTCTTGTAGTGGGCTGACAGGGCATGTAGAATCCACTATAAATAGCATGTCAAAAATAATTAAGGAATTAATGATATAACTGTTGACATTAAGTAATCAGTTGACAGTTGTAAAATGGATTTGATTTGGTCTTTATCTGAAAGAAATTTTCTTATATTTTAGGAGAAGTAAGCATACAGTGATAGCCTACAAGGATGCAGTGTTTGTTTTTGGTGGTGATAATGGGTATATTTTATTTTGATAATTATTTCCATATTATTTTTTTTATTTTAAATAATTGTTAATGTAAAGCATTATTTTTTATTAATATTTAGTTACTTTTACCAAAAAATATTTTATTGATAATTCTTTAAATATTTCAGTGCTATTTGTAATAATTTATTTTACCAATTACAATAATATGACTAATAAATTTTTCTTTTCAGAAAACATATGTTAAATGATTTACTTAGGTTCGATGTTAAAGACAATTCTTGGGGAAGGTTAGTATATTATGTACTATATTATAAACAGTTTTACTCAGTCATAATTTAATTTACTAATGAGCAAATTTTTTTTTACATAAATAATAAATGTATATGTTATTCAAGGTCTTTTTTTATTTAATTTTGTTTTCACTGATATTTACATTAATCCATTTTATTTTATATGTATAGATTTGAATTATTTGTAGCTTCAGTTTAAATATCAGTTAAATGAAAATAGTAGTTGCATTTAAATTTTTGTGTATAATATATTATTTCTTTTATATAATATTTGTAGCCAGTCATGTGGCAAGTATGCCTGATACCAATTATTTCTTGATTTGTCATCAAAATTCTATTAAGCACTTCACAATGATTTTCTGTGTTACTTTTATATTTTAATATTTGTGTGTGTCATCTGTAACAAAACCTGGTCTGAGAAATAGTGATAAGAGCCACACATATGTCAATATGTATTGCCACTATCAATATTTCTCAACCTTGTTTATTAATTATTTTCTTCACCTTTGCATAATAATATCACTTTTATTTAATTTCTTATCAAGCAGATATATTCTATAAGTTATGTCAAAATAAGCAAGACATTTATAATATTAAGCATATTTTTGTTGTTGTCAGAAATAAAGTATTTTTAAAATAATTTTAATATGCTATGAGAAAAATCCAAATTGCACCCTTGTAAGACTAGCATTATAACTTTATTAAAACCTCATTGTTGAGTTTAGGGATAATAAAGTTAAAGACGTTATGAAATTGAATCATAGTTAAATAACATGAATTGTTTAAAACGAATAATAAATGCAACATTAGTGACTAACTGAAAAAATGTTTGAAAGAACAGTTAGCGCAAAATGTACCTCTATTAGTTGAGAACTTAGTTACTTATTTTAGATACTTTAAACATCTTCAAAAACAACTTAATATATAAAAGCTTATAGTCCTTTAAGGTTACATTTAATTCAGTACTTGTAACTTTACAAGGAAGTTTGAAAATAAATCACTTTAGTACCCGCATCTATTACCACAATTAATTAAGTATTGCTGATGTGAAGAATAGTTTGGAATTTTTAACCCCCTCCCCCTATCAACAGACAAGCGTGTTTTATTCTTTGCTGGGTGCAATATGCTTTGGTCCATATTTTTTAAAAGCTGTTTTGTTAAACATTTGTAACCCTCCACATCAAACTTGGAATCAATGCCTGAAAGGCATAAAATTTTTCATTCAAAAATTTTTAAACTCTAATTCTTACATTCTTAAAGAGAGTGTACTTATCTTGAATAACGGCATTTTCTCTCAAGGGTTCTTCGCAATTGTTGTTGATATTATCAAAACGTTATAAGTTCTCTTCACGCTCTAGGTTTTTTGTATCATAATAGAAAGCTTTGAAAGTTCAGTTATTTCTTTACTTTTCCTTCAGCTATATTTTAAGTATGCAATGTTTTCATTGTCAGAAGGAAAAATATTGTTTTCAATTGCAGTATTTGTTAGGATACAATTTAAGAAGCATTTAACCACCAAATCTGATTCCAAGACTCTCCAGGCTGATTTACACTGTTCCATTGCATCAGCCATAGTGATCTTTTTGTCTAATTCTGAATCATTTGCTCAAATTATCCATTCATGCAATGACTGGCTAAAATTATGGTTACCGATGATGTTATTAAGTTGTCTTTAAGTCAAGATATTTTTTTAAACCTAAAATGTAGGTTTTATCTAATGTAATTGTATTTTATGTTATTGCATTGATTTTAATTTTTGACTTATATTTTATTTGGCAGGGCTTTCACAACTGGTGCTCCACCTGCACCCCGTTACCATCATTCTGCTGTTATACATGAAAATAGCATGTTTGTTTTTGGTATGCTCTCTTGTGTTTGATTCTGTAATTTTATTAATAATTTTAAATTCTATTATCTACATTGATGCTTTTATTTCTGCTTTTTCATATCAATGTTTCTTAAATTATTGTCATTGCAGGTGGTTATACTGGGGATATTCATTCGAATTCAAATTTAACTAACAAAAACGATTTGTTTGAATATAAATTCACATCTGGTCAATGGGTTGAGTGGAAATTTGAAGGAAAGTAAGTCATTAAGAGTTTTCATTTCCCAAAATTCTAGAAATCTTCCTTTTTTTTGTAATACATTTATTTGAATTAAATGTATTTTTTTAAAATAAAAGTTATTTTGTATACCTTTGAATTATGGAGAAAAGTGTGCTTGGTAATAGTATGTTAAAGATGGTTACTTATTTGTAAATTTTTTTATTGAACTTTAAGTTCATTAAAAGTATTAAGCACTCACATAATAGCCGGCGATCATGGAAGTTTAGGTTCCACAATTTTGAGACCAACTGCTGGATGGTTGCAGTAGGATCAGCATTGGGCACAGGTGACCTTTACTTCCCAGACAGGCTAATATTCATTGATCTAAAGCTGGGTCAACTTCTAATAATAGAAATTGAGTTCAGATATTTCACACTGTTTAAAGTACTGTGTCATCACAGCCAGAATTCGCCATTGTGAGTTAAGTATGTACATACTTAAATTAAACATTTTCTGAGAAGGAAATTTTAAAAATAAACTTTAAAAAAAATACTTATATTATTTTTTTAACTATAAACTATTTACTATATTTAAGCCTTTTTCTTCTTCTTTTTTTTTGAAAAATGTTTAAACAAAATTAATGAAGTTTCTAAGAACTTTAAATTATCTTTCTCACACTAATGTAAAATTATTATTGAAGTACAATCCAGCTAAGAGAAAACTGACGCGTACGAAAACATAATAATTTTTTTGACACTATATAGTTTTTTAAGTATACATTTATTAAGTATATATATAAAGAATATGTATAATAAGAATATATATAATAAGTATATATATATATTAAGATATTATTTAGTATTTCAGAGTTTATTGATAAAAATAGGCCCGAATAGCCTGGTCGGTAGGGCGCTGGGCCCATGTCAGAGAGTTCATGAGTTCGAACCCCGCCTGCCGAAGATTCCCCATGTAGTAAAGTGACTGATGCCCATTAAATCTGTCGTGTCGCAAAAGTCCTCCATGTTCCTATAACAAATCAAAACCTCTGGGGGTACTGAATTGGAGATCGATCGTTTTCTGATACAGGTCAAAATTACGATCTGTGTATGAATGAATGGGTGCACCCTATAAACAGGTGTGACGTACGGTGTGGCAGAACTCGAATTCTTGTCCATAGATGGCGCCCCAGAAGCAGAAAGTGCCTAAAACTGTGACGTACGTCGCAGAACAAACATAGTCCTGCAGAACAATTTGTATATTGAATAAGTGACAACGTTTTCCTTCGAAAGATTTTTATTTTAATGTTCGGACCTTCATATCATAGGCATTTCATTAATAATTCATCATCGTCATTAACAAAATTTTGTACTTCAAAAGTGATTGAAAAAGGAACAAATCAAGAATGTTTACCTTGGTTTAAAAAATAATGTAGTGTTTCTATGTATGATCCTGTATTTTAATAAAGGAAAATATAGTATTTTAACGTAAAGTTGACCTTTTTTCGCTGTGAAATGCTTGCAGAACATTTGCATAAATTAATAAGTCCTGTTGCAGAACATTTGAAAATATTCTGCTTATGGGGATGGCGCCTTTGGAAAACAAGAGCAATCGCACCCCCTCTGCATAAACAGGCATACGTCAACAACAACATTGATGAAAATAGAAAAAAAAAGGTCTTAATAATTCTAATTACTTCTGTAATTAATCTATTTTAATAATCTTGGTTCTATTTTTCCCCATTTGCTCTATTTAAATATCTAGAAAAATTTTTATTTTATTGAATAACTTGCTTTGACATTATCATCTTTATTTTATAGGAGACCTGTTCCTAGATCTGCTCATGGAGCAGCTGTTTACGATAATAAGCTGTGGATTTTTGCTGGTTATGATGGTAATGCCAGACTTAATGATATGTGGACCATATCTTTAATAGGAGATCCAAAAGTTTGGGAAGAAGTAAGTTTTATACTTTAGAACGTTTAAGACTTATGGTTGATTTGTATATTTTATCTCTGCATGATGTGTCTACAGGTGCCACAGTCAGGAGACTGCCCGCCGACGTGTTGTAATTTTCCTGTAGCTGTTGCTAGAGATAGTATGTTTGTTTTCTCAGGTCAAAGTGGTGCAAAAATTACTAATAGCCTTTTCCAATTCCATTTTAAGGAACGATAGTAAGATATTTTATTTATTTTTTTAATATAATTTTTATTTTGCCTGTTAGCATGTGATGTTAAATTTTATTTGTGAATTATTTCCCAAATCATTAATCTTTGCAGTTAAGCTTTTTAATTTTACGCATAATTTTAAACAAAATAATAATTTAAACTCTCATAATTGGTAAAACTAACATTGAGCATGAAAAAACTAAAAGAAGAAAACACACAAAAATAGTTAAACTTTGTCTGTATGAATTCTGCAGATGCAAATCTTCTGAGAATACACAAAAATTTTTATTTTTTGTAAAATGAATCTGCAACATTCATTTCAAAGTTTTTTATAAAATGAATCAGCCACATTCAACAGTTTTTAGTAAAATGAACCATACCCCAAAATGCCATTGTAAGCTGCTAATGCGCTTCCCTATTATAAATTTTTCAAAAGCCCATGAAGAAATAGGTCATAATTGTATTGTATTGATTGACCTTTATATATTTTTCATTGTTATGATTGGAAATTTTCAAAATTACATAATAATCAGAAAGGTAGAAGACTTAAAATGTTCATAGTTTCTTTATTTTTTTAAAAAAAGGGAATTTTATTAAATATGGAATAAAATACTTTTGTTTTAATTTTTATTATCTGCCCCTGAGTAAAAAACCATTGGTTTTACATCTTGTTGTCTGAAACATAGTACTATTGATTTTTATTAATGCTGTAAATAAATGATGAATATTAACTTTTCCTACAGTTGGACAAGAATATCAACAGAACATATTTTACGAGGAGCACCTCCACCACCGACTAGACGCTATGGTCATACCATGGTAGCCTTTGATCGCCATTTGTATGTGTTTGGAGGTGCAGCCGATAGCACTTTACCCAACGATTTGCATTGGTTAGTATTTTGTGACAAATATTTTATTGTTTTCTAAACATGTTATGCATATATCATATTGTGGACTTTGGAGGCTTAAAGGGAAAGCATGTTGAATAAGATAAATAACGTTTTAATAAATTTAATATAATCAGCTTTTGCTTTAGAATGTAAAATATACGAAATAAATCTTATCAAATATATCTTAACAAATTTTATTTTTATTCAAATGAACTAACTCACAAAATTATTTAATTGATATTTTCTCTGTATTTTATTACATAATATTATTTTTTTCCTGTTTTCTTTTATTTGAACAGAAAAACTGTATTTTATGCTTATTTTTTTTAATGATAATAAAAATTATTGGTTGCACCCATAAATTTAATATTCTTGATTCAAATGTTAAAATTCTAAATATGATATTGGTAATGATGTGTGTATTTAAATACTGTTACACTATTCTTTTCAATGTATATTTTAGGTGCGGAAGGAAAACTAAAACTTAATAACTACTATCCATAATGTTTCTTAAAATGTTTTAGTTGCTACATTAAAGTACCTCTAATGGTAGTAATTTAATGTAGCAGTTGCTACTTTAGTTGTAATTTAGTTGCTACTTTACCTTAGGAGAAACTTTTCATTGCAAATTAGTTTTCACTTCCGTAAGTAATTTGAAATATAAAAAAAGTGAGTTAGACAAATCTAGAGTAAGCCATCAAGTTTGAAATACTAACTCAAAATATCAAAATGAAAACAAATTAGGAGAAGACAACTTAGGATTATGCAATGGAGAAGTTCTCTTTCAATAATTTGTTTAAATTTTGATATTTTTAAATTTTGTTTTCAGCAATTGTTTCATGGCTCATTCTATGTGTACTTGAATTCACTTTTATTTTAAATTACTTATAGAGGTAAAACAGAACTTGCAATGAAAAGTTTCTCCCGCAGCATAGTTTCCTCTTAATAACTTTTTAGATTCTAAGTAACATTTATGAAAAAGTAATGTAACTTTCTCTAGAAAGTAAAGGATTTTAGTCTCACTTAACATCAGAACATTAATTTATTTTACCAAGTTTTTAAATTGTAGTGGATGAAGGTATTAAGTAACTATCTTTGTTGCTCATTTACCCAAAATCACTTAAATTTTGCTTCAAACCTTCATCCACCTAGCTTTTTATGTAGGATTCTATGTTTTATATTCTTAACAAGTAATTCTGAAAACGATTTTTTTTTTCTTTAGTTTTGACTTAGATTCACAAATGTGGTCTGTCATTCAACCTTCTAATGACAGTGAGGTAATAAGTTTTGATCGAACTTTTAAAACTTTTAGAAAATCAGAATGAATTATAAATTGAAATATAATTATAAATTTATTGATTACAGATACCATCTGGGAGGTTATTTCATGCTGCTGCTGTGATAGGGGATGCTATGTACATATTCGGTGGAACTATCGATAATAATGTTAGAAGTGGCGAGATTTACAGATTTCAATTTTCTTGCTATCCAAAATGTACTCTACATGAGGATTTTGGACGCTTATTGGAGAGTCAGCAATTTTGTGATGTTGAGTTTTTAGTGGGAAGAGTATGATTTGTTTATTTGCTTATTAATTTGTGTAAATTTAATTGCATCGAGGAACAATAAATTGAAGATTAGTATATTGGCCACTCTTTTTTTTCAAACAGCTTGTCTCTTACGCGGCCAGCCAGTAATTAAATTCTAGCTCTTCTAATGATTTAATTTCCTGTTCTCTTGCGTGCATTGAAAAGTAAAATATTTTACCTTTTTATTATTGCTTATTTTATGTGTGGTATTATTGAAAAACCAGCACCAGTAGTCCATGTTCTAAATTGTTGAAACCTCTGTCATTTATAAAAAGTTTAAATACAGTAAACTCGAGTTTACTGTATTTAAAGTGGGCCATGAAGAGACGGTAAACGAATTTGCGGATAATCCAAAACGCTTAAAGAAAGACACCCATCGTCAATTTCTTTAATATAAATGATAAATTTCAATATCTGTTTTTAGCAGTTTTCTTCGCATTTTCTTCATATTCCTGTTTTTTTTATTTCTATATGAAAAAACCTGCTAACTTCTTCTGTTTTTTGGTATTTGAGAACAGGAGGCTAATATAAATCAGGCACAAAGAGACTTTTAACTCCGGAGGTCATAGGGTTTTGTAAAAAGAAAGCACAAAACAATGTTCGAAACACATAAATTAGTTCTTATAAAGAGTTACTGCACATACACGATTTTTAGAAACTCTTATTAGCAACAAAACTAAAAATATACAACTGACTACAATTCTGAAATCATGCATATGCCCCGTAAGATAGTCAAGACCCTGTTTCATTCTTTTTCTTTTAGGGGTATAAGTGTGCAGGGACAACCCTAATTTGTTAGTGATCAATTTTACAACTGATAAGAGTTCCAAGAATGTTATTACTTGTTAACTAAATAAATGACAGGATAATTCATTCCCATTCATCATATGAAGGCTAAGACTGGAAAAACTGAATTTCTCTACTGTCTATCAATATCATTACTTTGAGGCTAACAATACGATCCAGGAGAGGAAAATGCTTTGGGGGATGCCAAATCTATTCATTGAAATATAAACTTCATTCTGCATTGTCTTGCTCATTATGAATGCCTCACCATTTTCACCCTTTCAATGCACGGTTTTACTTAGGTATTGCACTTGAAAGTGTGATGCTCATATGTAGACCCATTGTTTGATTAATTGTGAAAACCTGGGCAAGGAACGTGAATGTTTGCTAGTATATTGTTTTCAAAGCTTTTAAAATAGTTCTATCTCTATGAAATTATTTTAAATTCTAAATGCTATGTTGTTTATATTTGCAAAAAAAGAGTGAAGCCTGAATAATCCACTTGCAGATAATCTGGAGTTGACTGTATTTAGCATTTGATTTAAACCCTCACACTTTTTCCATTCTTGCTTTAAAAAACGATTTAGAGCTAAATGAAATCGTATAATAAATAAACTTTTATTTTAAAGAAAAATTTATATAGCAATGTGCAGATTGTGTTTTCCTGTAATTTTTTTATTAAAATGAAATTCCATATGATATATGCTTTGGGATATCAAGAATGTTATTAGACCAATTTAGGTTACTGTATGCAGTGTAAATTATTTTTAACTGATTCATTGATTATAGGTGAATTTTTATTCTTTGTGAAGAATTTTTTAATCTGTGCTTTTATATTTGTTTTTTCTTAGAGTTTTACTTTAATTTTTACAGACTTATTTTTAAATATCAAAAAAGCATTATTACCAAATAAAGAATAATGACGCCATATTAAAATTTCAAACTGCATTGCATGAAAAGGTGGCAACTGAACATTTTTAACTACCACATAAATTTCAAAATATGTTTGACTGTTAAAATACTACTGTTTTCTGAACTTATCCTTTGTTTCAGTTAGTTTCATTCTTTTAATACAATTCAAAAATTAATTACGAAGAAAAAAAATTAACAGAAAAGATGTAAATAATAAAAGAATGAAATATTTTATAAAGAGGAATATATAAAAGAAAAATAGCATGAATAGATACGTTTACAAATAAAAAAGGATATTGAAATTTAAAAAAAAAAAAAATTCCTCTCCCTTTTTTTTAATCTTATTTTCAGTGTTTTGCAAAATGAGATTTGATTTGATTAGTCACAATGATTTTATGGTTTAACCCAGTGTTTCCCAAAGTGTGGTACGCGTACCCCCAGGGGTACGGGAACAGTTTAGCGGGGGTACGTGTTCTTATGCGAAATAACTTGCAACAAACGAAAATTTCAAATTTTTTTTTATTTAAAAACAAAGCTAGCCATGCAAATTTACGAAAGCTTACGTACTTTTCTATTGGCTATTTTTTGCAGAGTTTAACAGTTAATAATTAGTAGTGTCAACTGCCAGTTGTGATTTTTAACTTTTGTGCAATTTTTTTATGGTAAAAAATACATTCAATTTAATTAGGGGTACACAACGTAACGAAAAATTTAGAAAGGGTACACAAAAGTCATAAGTTTGGGAAACACTGGTTTAACCTATGTTAGTTCATCTAAAAGTCCCTGTATAACGATACTATTTGTTATTGTTGTGGCTTCTTCAAATTCATAGACTTGTACAATAAAGTTGTCTATTTATCTCTATTTTATCCAAATAAATATATTTAAAATTTTCAATTTGTATTGTTAATACTTCTTGTTCAATAGTTATACTCATTACAATTCTTTTGCTTAATAAAGAAATTAAATGTCTTGTGGCTATTAATCTTTTATTACCTTACATTTATATGCCACTATTTGTTACTGAATTTTGTAGACTACTTTAAATTTTTCTTTCAGAACTCTGAATTAATTTAGCTGTTTATCTCTTTATTAAACTATGATTTGCTTAGTAATATATTTTAGTTTTTCTTTAATTGTGGAATAAGTTGTTTGTTTTTCGGAACATTAATTCATTCATTATTATTTTATTTTTTTAATATTTACAATTCTGAGAATGCTATATTTACTTTAAACTAAAGTTATAAAATTCTATTACCTAACTTTTAAGTAAAGCTATTTTTGAAACTGTTTACTTTGCTTGTTGTGGCATAACTACCATTGCAATTGTTATATATCAATTCACTAGTATATAACACATGTTAACTCAATTCTGTCTTGGGGTATCTTTTAATAAATGAAGGTTGGCATTGTCGTTACTACCTTCCCCACACTTGTCTGTTCAATTATTTTTCTCTTATGAGCAAAATACTGATGTTAGTTTTTTTTAGAGAAACTTGTTTCAAAAAAGCTACTTATTTTATGCTTTTTTTTTCTTCTTTTTTTTAAAAAAAGTTCTTGATTTTCCATTTTTAGATAATTTAAACGTATGAAAAAAAAATTCTTTCAAACTCTATACTTGTTTTACTAAGCTATAGATTTTTTTAAAAAAATTAATGATGTTTCATTTATTCTATAACAATTTCTTGATGCCAAATTATGAACATTAGTTTAAATATCTAAATGTTATTTAATTTTAATATTTAGGATCAGACATCTATTCCTGCTCACATTGCTTTTGTATCAGCTCGATCGTTATGGCTGAGGGATAAGATACGTGCTGCTAGAGAAAACCATAGAGACAAGGTTAGTACAATGGAGATTCCCGAAAAGAAATTTATAAATTTTCTATATCACTTTTTCTTTTTTGATTAAACTAACTTCAGCCGTATAAATTTCATTGATTCCATTAACTTTTAAAATACCGTTATTCTCACAAATTATGATTCAGATAGTTTAAATAAGAATGTTGACCGGTCTAATTAGTAGGGCGCGGGCCCATGTCCAAGAGGTTGTGGGCTCGATCAGTGCTGGCCGAAGACTCCTCGTGTAGTAAATGGTGACCGGGTCACTAAGTCCTCCATGCTCCCATAACAAATTATACTTCTGGTTATGCAGAATTGAAAATTGTGACGAAGTTAGTACAATGAGGATTCCCAAAAAGAGGGATTTATCAGCTTTCTTCATCTTTTTTTGATTAAAATAACTTTATACATATAAATTCCACTGATTCCATTAACTTTTAAAATAGTGTTACTAGTTTTTATATGTTTGATCTACAATTCTCACAAATTATAATTCAGACAATTTAGATAAGAATGTTGAGTTTTTGAAATGACTTGTTTATTTCTATTACTCATTAACATGTTACCAAACATTTTTTTAAAGTGTAAAATTAAAATGCGAATAATGTTGGATGAAATTTGGTAATATTTTTCGGAATGTTATTAAAAAATTTTTTTAAACAATCAAGTACCTTGACGGCTGGATTTACCTGCCTTTATTCATTTTATTTGAGTAATTTTCTCTATCTATTTACAAATTTTAATTATAACAAGCCTGTTTATTTATTTAATTTGGGTGCCGTAATAGCTTAAATTTTATTTTATTTTAAGCTTTCTTTGAGTTATTAAAATGTGTGTGTTTCGTTTATTATTAGATGTTTTAGGATTAATATTACCACCTAGCTTATCAAGTTAATAACGTCTTTAGGAGTTTACCTTCTTTGATAAAGGTGCACAATGCACCCGTGGGTCCTAAGTAACTCTCAAAACCTTTTGATTTGGCCCCTGAACTATTAATTATTAATACAAATATGAAAAAGTCATAAAAACATCTTTTTAAACTGTGCTTTTTCACTAATTGGTCTAGTTCAACCTTCTTGAAATTTTAGAGATTGTAAGCTGTTCCAATCACAACCATCACATTAATTATCTGATACTATATCAGTAATACATTTTTTTTCTCTGCATAACAGTATATAAAAGTTAATGTAATATTGCACTAAAGTATTAAAGAATTTTTTTTTTAATTTTCTGCTTTGATATCTTTTAATTATATCATCATAGATTAATGTACATTAATTTTTTCATTTATTTATTTTAATTTTTACTCTCTGCTCCCAAATCAAAAAGATAGTTATGCATTTTTTAATCATTTATACTATTTTCAAATCGAATCTAAATACTAAAGTGAAAAACAAAATGAATAAAGCATAAATCAAGTACAGAAATGGACTTATTGTAGTTTCAGACAGCTAGACAAGGACCTTCCTCGGTGTCTAAACACAAACTAAGGAAGGTTCTTGTTTTGTTGAAGGATTTTTTTTTGTGTTTAGCCACTAAGGAATGTTCTTGTTTAGAGAACTGAAGCTATAGCATGTCCATTTCTGTGCTTGATTTCTGCTTTATTCATGTTTTTCACTTTAGTTTATATAGCACAAACTATACCCTATCTTTTTGGAGAATCAAAATGCACCCTGCATTTTTACAATTACAAATTTATTTTATTGTCAATATCATAATTTTGTTGGCTACTATTCAAAATTGATTGTGTGTCTCTATTCTGTAAGTAAATACTTGGTTTTGCAGAGATATTGCTAGGGTATACGGTACCTGGGGACAATCTTAGTTTATGCACCCCTTTGCAATATGATGTTAGACTTAGGAATTTTAACGACCTAACTGAATAACGTCATATATTTTCATTTGATTTGGTTTAAAATTTAAGTGTGTGTTACACTTAAATTTTAAACCAAATCAAATGAAAATATATGACGTTATTCAGTTAAGTGTTACACTTAGATGTATTTGATGGCGTTAATTAATTTTTTTTATTGATTGATTGCATGATAAGCATTTATTTTAGAATTTTTCTCAATTAATATGTTGCTAGTTTGTTAATCAATATAAAATTAACTACAAGCAATGCAAGCTACAAGGAAGATACCCTACAAAAATTTAAAGTTAGTTGGATAAAATATTAAAGGAGTTATAGGTCCATAACTAAAGAAATATGAGGATATTTGAAAGCAGAAGATATTTTATTCTGAAATTTTTTTTTTTTGAATTTGGCACCTCCAAGGCTGCGCCCTTCGACCCCTTTACCCCACTAGCGACGCTATTAGTTTTATGACTGGGTTTTAATGCTCAATTTCTTTCATTTGTAAATTTAATACTGTTTGAGTTTGCACACTATCGTTAAATCCTGGCTCTTGTGAACTCTACATTTAAATGAATCTAATCTTATGCACTGTAATGGTAAATAAAAAAAGCTTATGAATATTCCATACATGTACTTCAGCCAGCAGTGCCATCTATGGGTTGCTATTTCAACTCTCTCATGCCACCAAATTTCCCCCGCTCATTCTGAGAGGAGATAGGCTGAGAGAAGGAGGTGTTTTTAAGATGTAACCTGCTATGATTTTCCCGCTAATAAATAAATGTTCAACCGTCCACTTCTTTCCTTTCATCCCTTTCTACCCTCTTAGACATGAATGAAGGCTTATTCCTTTAAAGAAAATTGAATCTAATATATGTGTGCACATATTATTTGATAGTTATACCTAACTTAGTTTTTTTCTTTTTTAATTAAATCTAATAAATATTACTTAGGTTGCAATTTTTTATGAAATAAAATTTACTTAAAAACAGAAAATTTTATTTCTGTAAATACAAATGAAAAGAGGAGCAATTTTTCAGTGTTCATGATAATTGCTAATAATATAAAATGTTTAGCAATAATGCTCTTCCTTTGTTTGTATTACAAGGATTATTGTCGATTTTAATAGCAACTGCAACATGATCACCGAAAAGAAAAAAACCACATTCCTGTTCTACAAGTAGAGTTGGAAGATGCAGTGCCGGAAGCATTTGAACTTGTTCTGACATACATCTATACTGATCGAATAGATCCAACAAAAAAAAGTAACTTTTTTCTGCTAAAATAACAATTGTTTAGATCCATTTTGCAATTTCCCAGTTCAAATTATTTTGATATTGGAAACAGTAAAATTTTTTTAAAAACATATTTGAAACCATTTTTCATTGTACAATACATCACTGTAATCAGAGTTCCATTTAATTTGATGTCAGTCAGTAATAACTTAATGTCTTTTGTACAGGTGGCATGATTTATATACTTAATAGCTTTGATAGTGATAAATTCAATAACTAGGCAGATAAAATCAATAAATTTAGATTTTTACAACTGAGGTTATGTAGTACTCACTTTATAGAAAAACTTTACATGAATGGAGGAGAATTTAACGATGGATATTATTATGTATATAAAAATATTATATAAAATTATATTATAAAACCTGTTATAAAAATATTATATAAATTTTATATTATTATTTTCATATAAATATTGTTTTTTCTTCTTCTTTTTTTAGACTAGTATATAATTTTAAATGTGTTGTGCATTTTATGATAAGAAATCCATTTAATTTAAATTGGTCTTTAATAATTTATATTATTTTTTAACATTTCTTGGTGAAATATAACTGGAAAATCAAAACAAGTTCAGCATATTTTTACAAACAAGTTGGTTATATGGTTTTTCCTTATTCCATTTAACAGGAAATAATGTATGTCAAAATTGATTGAAATTTAACTTTTTTAGTGACAATAAATAAACTTTACTTTTGGTTAACTAACTCAAAGAACATCAAATAAATTTGTAGAATAAGTAAACAAGAGTTTTCATTAAATGTAACTAATATGTTAAACAGACAGTAGTGACACTGCATTGATTAAAATGTCATGGACTATTGGATTTAGATATTAAGTAATTCAACTTTTTAATTTTATATTACATACATTAGTAAATGTAATTATTGATTTGAAATTCACATAAGTTTTTCTTTTTCTTAAGTGCAATTTTATATTACATACGTTAGTAAATGTAATTATTGATTTGAAATTCACATACATTTTTCTTTTTCTTAGGTGCAGATCCTATGAGTACAAAAGTAGTATTACTAATGATGGATGTTTATAGGTTAGCTGTGCAGGTAATGTGCGTTCTTTCCTTTTTTTTCACTTCCTCTCCGTGCATAACATACTAATTTTTCGATTTTCACTTATTCCTGCTCAATTAAATGTCATTATAACGTATTCTTAATTTTTATTATTTAATTCATCATTTAGTGTTATTATCTTTTTAAAAGTTTAATATTAACTCTTAACACTCCAGAATTCTAAGTCCATTTCCCACAAAGTTTGTTACTTTTCATGTAAAAATAAATAGTGTTTATACAGGAAGGAAAAGAAATTATTTATATTTTAGTGAAAATTTGTTAATATATATTACTATTAATTAATCATAATATTAATTATGCATTCAAATATATATAATTAATTATAGGCAGTTAAATTAATTGTAAATGTGATAAAATAAAAATATACCAAAATAACTTTTGACATCCTACAAAGGGCATCAGACCCCGTGGGTAAAAGTGCCATTATTTAAAAGCATTGAGCCAATAATTAAGTGTTAAATTATTTACTATGATGCACCTTTAACAAAAAGTTACAAAAGTTACCATTATAAATACAGATTTTATGAAGCTGTTAGCACTCGAGTGATTTCTCCTTTTTTACTCCCTTTTATTTTTGCACAAGCTTAGTTTTTCACATCCTTTGATTTTGTAGCATTGAGTTCTCAAAATATTTTATTTTGGAGCAATAAGGAGTTTTCTGCTTATATAATCTCTACATTAAACTTTTAATACTGCATAATTCACTTGTTTAAAATATAGAGCATGCAAAAGAAATTGGAAATTCAATATATAATAAAATAAAGTAAAATCCTTTCAGAGAGTTAAGAAGCTTCATATCAAAAGAAACTTATATGGTGAGTTTCCTTCACAGACATCAAAACATTAAATCAAATGATAAAAAGTTTTATTTTTAATTACATATTGTTAATTTGAATTTAGAATATATGTTCATTTTGCTCCCTCTTTTTTGCAATCATCAGACTAAAATATTCATAAAACCGAGGGTCTACAATTCCTGGTAGCTATGGCATCAAAAGTAGTAGCTGATACTCTGTATTTTGCTAAATAAAAACAAAAAGCTGTTGCCAAACTTTCCATTGTATAACGAGCTGACTTCTAAAAATTCTCCCCGACTCCTCGAAATTATACATTTTTGCAGGCCGCTGGTTAAAACTGTTTCTCAGTTTCATTATCATTTTCAATTAATTTAATGTCCTGTATTTTCCTCCATATTCTTATAGTTTCATATGAAGCGTCTAGAACAACTATGTGTGCAATATTTAGAAGCTGCTATAAATATTCGTAATGTTTTGGTGGCGTTACAGAATGCATCTGATTTGAAGCTGGACTTCATAAAAGTAACATTTTATTATTTTTTTATTCTGTATATAAAAGTCTGAGCTATAACTTAATATTCAGATTTACTTAAATGTGAAATTTTAAATGCAGGAATTCTGTCTAAAGTTCATTGTTAAGGAAAACAATTATAACAAAATAGTCATGAGCAAAGAGTTTGAGACCATTGCTCAACCGTTAATGGTTGAAATTATAAGGAGAAGACAAATGCCAGCCATGCGCTATCTTCAAGAACCTCATTTCGACTCTGCAGGTAAAAGTTTGAGTTTCTTTTATCTATTATACAGCAGACTTTGAATTTAAGATTAAGTTTTGACTTTTAAAAATTTTATGACTAATTAGTGCTACAAGAAGTATCAAAAAGGTTTGATAAGCCATTGAAGTCAAAACTGCCTGCATGCATTCTTATTTATTAAATCCAAATGATATTTTCTGGTACTTCTCTGTTAGTCAGGGATAGGTAAAGTCGACTAGCTCTTTTTTATTAATTTTCTTTTTAAATTGGCCATCACTAAAAAAAAAGATAATAAATAAATTAAATAAAACATAATTGAATTTACTCGCAACCAACTTGTGAAAAGTACATAATTCTTCACCACTGTCTAATTAAATATCAGAATCATTCATTATTCCAATGTATTTTTTCTTTCAATTATTTGAGCTAGTATTTTCTTATTTTTTAAAATGTGAGTTAAAAAAATATTATTAATGTATTAAAAATATGAACTTTTGCATTTTATGGCATGATAATCACAGATATATAATGCAAACAATATTACAGTCTAGTTATTAAAATCCAGTTTCTTCTAAATAGTTAATTTTTTTCAATGCAATAATATTATTTCATTCATAACGTAATTTTCTTTGTAAAAAAATACTTGGAATTCTGATTATACATTTGAGTACATCTCATACAATGTCTTGCATACAATATCTACAATATATTTCATTAAACTGCCAGAATGTGTTTATCTTCAACTTATTAGCACTTCGAATGAAACAAGTTGTTTTTACGTTAACATTTTTTCACATACCTATAAAAGCAATCTTAAAACAATATGTATATGACTTATTATACATATATTTTATTATTATTACTAATTTATTAATAGGAACAACTCTTGAGCAAGACATGGAACACTATTTAATGTCTTCCGGAAAAGAATTTTGTGATATCACTTTAATGCTAGATGGTCGCCCAGTGCGTTCTCATAAAGCTATATTAGCTGCTCGCTGTAGTTACTTTGAGGCAATGTTTCGTTCCTTTATGCCTGATAATAATATTGTTACTGTAAGTCATTTGTCATTTTTATTGTAAAAAAAGATTTATATTTTTACATCTTTATACTTTATTGTATTATAAATTTTATATTGACGAAACTAGCTTTCTATACATTTCCAGTAAATATTTCATTGTAACTTAATCATAATAATATAACTTTCAAAACTATTAAGTAATGCTGCCAGATTTTTTTTTTAAGTTTCAATTGATAAATGGAGTTTTGTAAATTTGTTTTGAATTTAAAAGTATAGGATTACTTGGATATTAAGTATAATTTTTTAAAATTTTCTTTCTACATTAAAATGTAGTTAAAATATTATTTTAGTATTTATATTTTAAATTACTGCATTGTTTTACTAAAGTATAGATCAAGCCATTCTGTACCTTTTCATATTCATAAATGGTCATAATATCCTAATTATCTTTTTAAAAATGTATAAGGAGTTGTGTTATATTTAAGTTAGTATTTTTTCAATATGGGTTGTTGTTGTGAAAAATAGATTTTAGAAAATAATATTATATTGTCCTCCAGTTGAGTAAAATTGATTTTAGAAAATAATATTATATTGTCCTCCAGTTGAGTAAAATTTTACATTAGTGTAGATTTATCTGATATCATATGAAGCTTTTAATTTTATTTTTAGATTATTATTGGAGAAACTGTGCCATCTTATCAGTCATTTCATTCACTTCTTCGATATATTTATTATGGTGAAGTCACAATGCCCCCTGAAGACTCATTGTATCCTTTATTTTTCACCATAATTGTGTATTTATATATTGCAATAAATTATAGTGTACTTTTATAATAGTGTTTATGTACCTTAATATAAAAAAATAGATATTTATTTACAGCTCCCTATTTTTATGGTTTTACAAATAACAGATTTCAGGTAATAAAATAAATTTCTAGTAAAATAATATTGATCCTTTACATTGTTTCTTCCTGATTAACTGATAATTAATAAAACAATGCCTTTTTATCTTAATTTATTAAAGATTATTATTACTTTTAGAGAAATTATCCTATGACAAATAATTTTAATTTAATTTAAAATGTTCTGAATGATATTCATGATCTTATTAAATTTTATTATACTTCTAACAAATTTATTTCCAATGCTAACTTTTCAATTCTTTTATATATATATTTTTTTTTATCCATAGGCATTCTGCAAACAAAACTTGGAAATGAATGTCACCTTTGAAAATGTTGTGCAGGTAGTTTATATGAATTCAATTAAATTATCCTTACAAATATAATTATTTAGATTAACTGAGAAGAAAATTTGTTGCTCTTAAATTACTTAATAGTTTATTTAGAAAAGTATCACTAAGAAATTTGTTAATAATTGATTTTTTTAACACAATTTGACAGTATATACATTGAAAACACTTCCTTAAAACCATTTGTTAAAACTTTTAGCAATTGGAAAACATGTAGTGCATGCCAAACTTTGGCTTCACTAATTTTGAAGAAAATTTTTCCTGTGCACAAACTCAAGAAATTTTTGAATTTTAACTGCTTAAATTTTAAAATTTACTAACTTATGTACAGTGTGTAAAATAAAAATTTAACCACTCTGACTAACTTTTGATGTAAAGATTAGATCTTGAGGTTCTGAGATTCAATCTTAATGATTTGAGGGGGTGATCTTAAATCAACCAAGTAATTATGCAGACAATATTTTAAGTTACAAAATCAGACACAAAGACATACTTCTCTGAAGAAACATATCTTTTTTTGTTGTTGTTGCTGAATTCAAATTTCTGACCACAAAAATATAGGGGGTAATTAAAATCTCGGAAATATGGTCCCAATAGTTTGATAATGACAATGGCCCAAAGTTTGGATCCTTAATGCATATTTAGCCATATCTCGCAAACTTTTTAATTGAATTGAAAAAGTTTTGCGGACAACTATAAAATCTGTTTATTTAAAGAGAATTCCATTAGAAATTTAAGTTTTAGTAACTATTTATTATTTTTTATTGTTTTATTTAATAATGGTTGAAAAATTTTTGAATTGTAAGTTATAAAATTTTTCACATCATTTTAAAATATGTAATTTTACATGGCAAATTACAAAATTTGTGCTTAATCAGTTGAATAGTTACTGAGAAATTTTTTAGTTCTCTTAAGTTGTTTTACAGAAAAAATCAATAATATTTAGAGGCAAAATTTTATAAAAGTAAGATTTTAAACAAAATTTTGAAAGTGAGGGGCTTTTACTATTTTAAATGCAGCAAAAAATCTTTCGTTATTCATATTTATTATTCAAGGAAACCTTAATTCATCTCTTAATGATTTGATTTAAAAGCAATTGAAATAAAAAATTCTATAATTTCAGATTTGTTAAAGATTATAGGCGCAGGAACCATATAATAATTTAGTGCAGAAATATTTAACTTCAATACTTATTGTATTTACATGTTAAAAAAAATTAAATATTTTAGAATCATTTCATTAAAGAAATACTGAACCAAGTAAAAAATTTTAAACAATTGTAACTAATTTATGTGTGTAATATGAATTTTTTTTAAAAAGTTTTCTTAGTTTGTTTTATTTTTTGCATATCTTTATAAATTCCGAATGATCAATAATAATAATCTTGTAAATGTTTTATTGAATATGCTTTTATAAATAACTTTTATCTTAATCTAAAAAATACACTTAATAATATTTTTAATAATAGTTGAATTAATTATAATTTTGAGTTAAATTTTTTACATAATTAAATAAGTAACTATTAATTTAAAAAATAGAATGAGCTCCTCAATATTGAATTTATTTAAAATTGTTAATAAATTGTTTTTATGGTGGCTGATGTAGTCATGAAAAGAGTTCTCCGTCAGAAACAAATTTTTTTTTTTCATGATTATGTAAAATCTTTGAAAATTATTTTGCATTTTGTTAATATATATATGAAGAACTTTCATCAATAGGAAGAAAATTTTTTTATTATTGCGCATATCCTAATTATGATATTTTCTTAAAGTGCTTAAAAGGTACTTATTTTTTATTGAAAAATTTGGCTATGTACCCTGAATAAGTATTATTATAATTACTCTAGAATCAGAGCTATTATTATAATTTTATAACCTATTATTAATTTTATGGCCTTAATATTATTAACCTTAAAATTTTTTGTGTAATTATCGATTACAAGAAATAAGAGTGCATGATAAATAATTTAATCGACAATTTTTGTTACAATTGTAGATTCTGGAAGCAGCTGATAAAATTCAAGCTTGTGATATGAAAAAACATGCTTTAAACTTAATTGTTCATCAGTTTCCAAAGGTAAGCATTTAAAAACTTTTTACTTTTTCCAATTGAAATGCTGATAAGTAGTTTTCATTTAAAAAATATTTTTGAAAAAGTATTTTACTCTTTCTCCCTTTGAAGATTGTATTCAGCTTTTTGCTGATGTAATGTATTCATTTCATTCAGTTATTTAATACATGTTATAAATTTATTAAATATCGGACAATGTATTTAATATTTTTTTAAATTGCAGGTTGCACACCAACCAATTTTTCGAATGTTAAGCAAAGACTTACTTTTAGACATTTTAGACTCACTTGCAGTTGAAATGAGTGACTCTAAACTTTGCCAGGATATGTCTTCTGTCAGTCTGTGTTCAGATACTGCCATACAGTCGAGCTTACCTTGAATCTCTCACGATCGCAAGTGAGCGATGTTTGTACATAAAATGTTAATGCAAAGTTATATGTTTATTTATTTTCCTGTATTAGTATCAAAAAAATAAATTTTGAAAAAACTACTTAGATTTAATATTTTTGTATTGAAATTAATAATTTATTATTTTCTTTGAATTTTACCTAATGATAACTTCCCTAACAACAATTTTACCTTGGCCCCAGTTTGGCTCAATATAGATCCTATATGAACCTGCACCAAGCGACCAATATTGGGATACCTACAATTTTTGTTCCTATACAGAGCCTCTATTAGCTGAATAATGAATATATAATATTGAATGAATCTGACACTTCCATATAGAGCTGATATTGGTTGTAAAGTGACTGTAAAATATTGAATGAGTCGGACAATTATGTGTAGGGTCAATGTCGTTAAATAACGGCCATTTAAACCCTTATTGAGCCAAGATTCAGGAGTATTGGTTCAATGAGAACCCAAGTCAGTTTGCTGCTAGGGTTGTCTTGAGAAGTACAGTGGAAAAGAAGCAAACTTTTAGTTGTTATGATTGTCAAAAATAAATAACATATTTCAGCAGATATACGCCGCAACCGTAAAATTTGACTAAAAGGGTTAAGTTTTTCATCAGTAAGACCACACAATTGGATACGCCGCAAAAAATTTTTTACAAGTTATATACAAAATAATTAAATGTTTAAAAATCAGTCCAATAATTATTAAATATACAATAAATTAATATATAAGATCTTAATTAAAATAAGTATTTATGTATTTTGAAAATTTTCATCAAACTTTTCAAATGTAACCAGAATTGTAACTTGTACAATTTTGCTTACATTTGAAAAGTACTGTATGCTATTCAATTCAACACAATCGCTAACGCAATACGTTTATAAATATCAATTTAAAATACTTTTGTAAATCAAGTGATTAAGAACCTAAATATATTAAAAATAGGTTATCAAAATACAATAAATTTGTGAAAATAAATTTTATCAGGCCCAAAATTGTCCCATATAGAGCAATCGAGATTGCATAACATAGCTTTATTATAATTTGATTTGAAATACCTCAAAATTATTAAATTCAATTATTAAACTAAAAATCGTCACACTAATTCAACAAAATATAAATAATTAAATCAAATAAAATAAATCTTGTTTTGCGCAAAATTGTTATACAAAAACAATGATGAACGCATTCCATTTCTTTTTACTAATTTAAAATTTTTAACCTATCGAACAGCTAAAAACCTGTGGTGAACCACCTTCTCACCAGATGGCGATGAACTCTGCTCGCCAGATGGCAGTGCAAAACATTTCCCTCAACCTTTTTATGTGATGGCAACATCTCTTGTGTTCAAACTTTAGTTTCCAGAATTTGGCAACAGCTGAATATAAACATTCATTCGGGCTTGCTAGCCGATAAACATTCATTCGGGCTTGCTAGCCGGTGAACATTCACCTCTCTTAAAATGCTGCTGTCGTTAATCTTGTCAGTCTTTTACATTGTAACTTAATATGATTTCTTCTTTTTTTAATTATTATTAAACTGTTGTGATTATTAATTTTATTGAATCAATTTATTTAATATTATTTAATCTAATCACCACAGATTGGTGACCCTAAATGAATTTAACGCGTAACTTT